CCACATGCTTTGATGTACGAGAATTCTTTAGATAACTTTTCACCTTCAATGTCTCAAGAGTGTGCTGAGTGAGTTTCAAGTCTGTATCTCAAAAGATGTAGGAGGAGTTCGATCAGATGTGATGTGTATGAAAAAAAGGCGGGTTTTATCCAAAATGGCCGACTTCCTGTTGGGTTTGCACCACAGCTCCAAGAGACTTTTTTGTATTTCCTGACAAGATACACACATGTACCAAGTTTCATATTTCTAGGTTAAAGCATGGCTTGGGGCTAATCACTTAAAAAATTCTAGGGGGTGCTGTAGAGAAATTAGGCCACGCCCATCAACGACAGTTATGGATTCCTTTTCGGGGATGAATAAGGATGCATCCTAGTGAGTTTGGTGCCGCTTCGCTCAAATATAGAATTTACAGACAAATGTATGGCAACGGCGTTACAGGTCACTTCGCCACACCGCCACGCTGACCTACTCCATTGAAAACAAATGGGGTTGTAATCCACATTACACCAACATGTAATGTGGTGTAATGTGGATTATAAGATGAAACTGTGTCTCTGGACACAGTTTCATCTTGATTAGCTCAAAGGGGTCAGAAAGGGACTGTTCAGAGTAAAACATGACACTTCCTGTTCTCAGGGGCCGTGGCCTAAGTGATGTCATCATTTGACCGTTGGGTATTGTAGGGCACCCGATGATGGTCAATCACTGAAAGTTTGGTGCCTCTGTGAGTTTTTGTGTAGGAGTTATAACAGTTTGGTGTTTCATGGAGAATAGGTGAACTTTGACCCCAGAAAACCCCCCTTTAGCAGGCACGAAAACGCAAACCTTTGATAACTTTTAATCGGCCATGCCTTATGAGCGATCTGACCGAGTTTGAAGCTGATCGATCGAAATCCCTAGGAGGAGTTCGATCAAATGCGAAGGCTGTAAAACGGCCAAAATGGAGTCAAAATTGGAACTTCAATCCAAAATGGCTGACTTCCTGTCATACTTGCACTATGACATTAATTGTAAATTCTGAGTGTCTTGGGGAGCTCTACAAGTGTATGAAATTTCATGTCTCTGCGATGAAGTAAGGTAATAGGAAAGGGTCTTTTGAAAGTTGCTTGGTGGCGCCGTTCAGCTGTTTCTTTTGCGATTTTTGCGTTGACCTTAAACTACGTAAATTTTTCACAGTCTCGACGTGTCCGCCAAGTTTGGTGAATTTTTGAATATAATAAAGCCTCCAAAAAGCCAATTTATTTTACGGAAGCATAATTTACAGCACAATTTCAATAGGCCTTCGCAGCGCTTCGCTGCTCGGGCCTAATATATATATATATGTGTGTGTGTGTGTGTGTGTGTGTGAATAAATTGCTGCCTACAGAGTAATTTAAAAAGAATGAAACAGGGCAATATTTTATTTAATATATAAGTGAGCCAAAGAGCCACTTCTGTTAGCCTGTGTCTAGCACTGCCTATGGGCTGCAGGTCTGAGGTATTTTGTTAGCATGTTTTCTATCATTCTTATGGCTTGATAGGAAGCCTTATCCAAACTGACAACCCACATTAATAAAATGGTGAAATAATATTGACCACAAAGCACTGTATTTATAAAAGATAAACATTTTTCCTACATAATCCTAACAAATGTTTTTAATGTTGAAAAAATAAACGGTTTCTCTTCACAATATGTATTATTATTTATTTACTATTAATCTATTTGTATGATTTGTTCTTTAAATTGCCATTTATATTATTTTTAGGTCTCAGGAAATGATTGAGGGATGAAGAGCCCGATGTCTGCTCTGAGCCCAGGCTGGTCTGGACTCTAGTGTCTATAGGTTCTGACAGGTCTGCGGTGTTCCTCTCCTGGCCCATTCTGTCTGATACCAAACAACCCACTGTGCGCTACTGAATATTGCCGACCCATTTTTTTTAAATGACCCTATTACTCACATCTGTATTTTTGCCAGAGGCTTTGCTTCTAAGGACGGGGGAGTATCAGGTGGACATTTTAAAAAGACGCAGGTTGATAGCAGTTCACCGTGGCTGCATAGTGTCCGTCTCTAAGCAACCGTGACAACAGCGTCAGTTCGTCGGGGTAGAGGATGGGGCCCTATTTAGGTCCCGCAACAATTTAGCTGACCTTAATATTTCCCGTGCTTTGTTTTGGTCATTATTATTACACTTATTGTTGAGATGTGTATGATAGGTGTGTCTATCAGACATTTATAGCAATACGGAATAAATCGCGTCCCGTATTGGTTCAATACTGGGCAGAGACAACAACAGCCAGCTGTCATTTTAGGCTAGCTTAAGGCTTAAGTTAATCTGAATATTTACAACTCTTTTGTACTGACATTACTTACCTACTGTCTTTCAACCACTTTGAAAAGCTTTTCTTCGTCTCTCCAACATCTTTATCCCTCCCCCTCTTCCGTTTTGTGCCCCGGAGTTTGTTTTTTTTTTCTGCCGCCCCATCTTTAGCTCCCTGTTGTCGAGTGCACTACAATTCAAATTGTAGTGCTCAGTGTATGCGCCCCTATGGGTTGCATACACTGCATACCCACTTTT